AGGGCAGCGTAGGAAAGTTCCCAATCCCCGCCTGCCGGGGCTGGATGGGGGATCCCCGCTGCCTGCGCGGCCTGGCCGGGCTGCAGCGGGGCGACGGCCCCTGCTCCCTGGCTCGCGAAAGCCCCCGGTGGGAGAGTCCAGGGCGCGCAGGGCACGTGGGGCGCGGGAAGCCCCGTTCCCCACGCCCCGGTGTGGGCGAAGGCCAACGGCGAGGGGGCGGGGAGACACCCGCCGGGGGCCGCCTCGCACAGGCCGCCTGCGTGCGCCGGTGCCCCGCCACCCTGGCCTGGGTGCCTGGCCCTCCGGTTCTGAAACCAAATCTGAATCCGGGACTCCGGGAGGCCCGTCTCTCTGGCCAGTTCGTCCCGGGTGGCGATGCCCGGAAAGCGATCCTGCTGGAAGGCTCGCAGGAGCAGGGCGGTCTGGGACCGGGTGACGGCGGTCCGCTTTCGCCTGCCTTCTTGCGGGCCGCGTTTCCCGGGCCAGGGCCGAGATTCCCGCCGGTGCTGCCTCAGCTGGCGTGATCTCTCGTTCTGAAACCAAATCTGGACCCTGGGCTCCGGAATGCCGATGGCCCGGGCCAGCTCTTCCCTGGTGGCGATGCCCGGGTACGGGTTCCGCTCAAAGCAGGCTCGCAGGGCCTCCCTCTGGCTCGGGGTCCAAACGAGTCTCCTTCGCCGTCCTCGTCCTCGGGCCTCCGCCGGGAGGGCGCCGTCTCCAGGTGTCGGGAGAGCCATCGCGGGGAGACCTGGCCGGAATTCCGCGGACAGACACGGGCAGAGAGAGGCCGGCGGGCTCCCGTGCCCCTCAGTCGGCCTGTGCAGGGCGAGCAGGTCCAGCCAGGAGGCCGGCCCAGCCGGCCAGCGGCCCTTATAAAGGCCCACAGGCTCCACCCCTTCAGGAATGCAGGAGGAGCCCAGGGCCAGCCCGCCCTCGCCCTCGGAAGCCGGGACCCACAGGGCCCAGGTCACTGTGGCCTGGGTGTGGGTGGGGCCGGAGAAGCCCGGGAGGTGGGGAGTGGGGTGGGGAGTGGGGTGGGGGGAGGGGGGAGGGGGCGGGGGGCGGGCTTCAGGGGCTGGCTCTCTGGGCCTCTCCAGGGATTCTGCGGGGACTGGAAGCCGCTCTCGGGGCTCCGCGGGCGTCTTCAGCAGGGAGAAGCCAGCCCGGAAGGGTGGAGTGGAGTGTGGAACTGGACCTCCGTGAGAGTCTTGAGTTTTCCGGGCCCTCTCCCCGGGAAGGAGGCCGTGCCCGTGGTTGTCGCCGTTGTCATCACAGGCTCACACACGCAGGTGTGTGGGTCGCGTTCACTTCCACGCGGAAGGGCGGAGCGACACCCCGGAGAAAGACTGCATCCCCGGCGTCGCGGCCTGACCACGGATGCCTGCATCACGCAACGCAACGTAGGGGGAGTCTCCACCGTGGCCCGCCCTGGAAACAGGCGAGTAGAGCGAAGGCACGGTGCTGGCGTTCCACGCCTCCCTGGAAGATTCTGGGTCTCCGCAGAGCTCGGGAATCAAACAGTCAGCACGGTCAGGCTTCCGGGGGCTTCAGAGACGTGAGCACCCGACCCCCCCCCGGCAGACGGCAAAGCAACGTGGAATCCCGATTCGCGCCTCAGTCGTCCTGAGTGTGACTCCTGTGTGGACGGGGCTGCCCGCCTCGCGCTGCATTGCAGGGCTCAGCCTGGGGATGGGAGGTCGGCAAACCATGCGGGTGAAAACCGGACGGCCACCCGAGTCTGGGTCTTTCGCCTTGGCGGACATGGCCCGTTCCTCGGGGAATGAGTGCCCCGCCGGCCCACGCGGCGGCCGTGGGCCCCGCCCTCTGCCCGCGCTGGGCGCTCGCCTTTTTTCCCCCGGCGCGCGGGGGCGTGGGGGAGGGGCGGCCCTGTTGCTGCTGGAGGCCGGAGACCGCTTTTCCTCCCTGCCGGAGTCCCTCTGACCCTTGCTCCCTCCCGCCCGCTCCCCCCCCCCCGTCCCTCCGTGGCTCCGTGTTTCCCTCCGTTCCCCACTCCCTCCCTCTCTCCGTCCCTCCGTCCCTCCCTCCCTCCCTCCCTCCCTTCCAACGTCCCTCCTGCGTCCATCCCCCGAGGTCTGGCTCTCATCTCTCCATCTCTGCCTGCCTTCCCCCCGCCTGGAGCGGTCAGCATCCCGGGTTTGTGTGGGATCTGGGGGGTGCATGTAGCCGCCAGGTGCTCCATGCCGACGGCGGGGAAGGCGGCAGGGGCACGGGTGGGCGAGTGACGGTGGAGCGGAGGCACAGAGGAGGCGAGCCGCCGGAGGGAGAGCAGGCCCGGGCAGCGTCCGGGCCTGGGAGGTGGAGCTGCCCTGATTTGGGGCTCCCACGCCTACCCGCGACCTGGGGCTCCCTGGCCCCAGCCCCACCACGGACTCCCCTGGGATCGTGGCGCGCGAGCACACCCTGCTCCTGCGGCTCAGCTCCGCGGGCCCGGCTGTCCCACTCGAGCAAGTGGCCCGGCAGGCTGTGGTGCTGCGATCCTGGTCCCCCCGCCATTGGCTCGGGCGCGGAGGCCATCTCCCGGGCCTGAGGGTGGGAGAGCGCCCCTTCCGGAGCCGCCAGGGTAGCGTAGAGGTTCTAATCCCCTGCCTGCCGGGGCTGGATGGGGGATCTCGCTGCCTGCGCGGCCTGGCCGGGCTGCAGCAGCGGGCGCACGCCCCTGCCTCCCTGGCTCGCGAGCCTCGTGGGAGGAGTCCAGGCGCGCAGGCACGTGGCGCGGAAGCCCCGCTCCCACGCCCGTGTGGGCGCGAAGGCCAACGGCAGGGGCGGGAGACACTGGGCCGGGCCGCCGCACAGGCCGGGCTTCATAAGCTGTGTGCCCCGCCACCCTGGCCTGGGTGCCTGGCCCTCCCGGTTCTGAAACTGGGCCTGGAATCCGGACTCCGGAGGCCCGTCTCTGGCCAGTTCTTCCGGGTGGCGATGCCCGGAAAGCGATCTCAAGGGAAGGCTCGCAGGAGCAGGGCCGCTCTGGGACCGGTGACGGCGGTCCGTCGCCTGCCTCTGCGGGCCGCTTTCCCGGCCAGGCCGAGATTCCCGCCGGTGCTGCCTCAGCTGGCGTGATCTCTCGTTCTGAAACCAAATCTGGACCCTGGGCTCCGGAATGCCGATGGCCCGGGCCAGCTCTTCCCTGGTGGCGATGCCCGGGTACGGGTTCCGCCAAAGCAGGCCTGCAGGGCCTCCTCTGGCTCGGGTCCAAACGAGCCTCTTCGCCGTCCCGTCCCCGGGCCTCCGGCTGGGAGGGCGCCGTCTCCAGGTGTCGGGAGCTAATGCGGGAGACTGGCCGGGAATTCCGCGGACAGACACGGGCAGAGAGAGGCCGGCGGGCTCCCGTGCTCCTCAGTCGGGCCTGTGCAGGGCGAGCAGGTCCAGCCAGGAGGTCGCCCAGCCGCCAGCGGCCCTTATAAAGGCCCACAGGCTCCACCCTTCAGGAATGCAGGAGGAGCCCAGGGCCAGCCCGCCCGCCTCGGAGGCCGGGATTCCACAGGGCCCAGGTCACGGGGGTGGCCTGGTGGGGGTGGGCCGAGAAGCCCGGGAGGGGGAGTGGGGTGGGGAGGGGGTGGGGTGGGAGGGGGAGGGGGCGGGGGCGGGGCTTCAGGGGCTGGCTCTGGGCCTCTCCAGGGATTCTGCGGGACTGGAAGCCGCCTCGGGCTCCGCGGGCGTCTTCAGCAGGAGAAGCCAGGCCCGAAGGGTGGGAGGGAGGTGGAACTGGACTGGGAGAGTCTGAGCACCCGGCCCTCTCCCCGGGAAGGAGGCCGTGCCCGTGGTTGTCGCCGCTGTCATCACAGGCTCACACGCAGGTGTGGGTCGCTGCCTACACTTCCCACGCGGAAGGGCGGAGCGACACCCGGAGAAAGACTGCATCCCCGGCGTCGTTGCCTGACCACGGATGCCTGCATCACGCAACGCAACGTAGGGGGAGTCTCCACCGTGGCCCGCCTCCTGGAAACAGGCGAGTAGAGCGAAGGCACGGTGCTCATGCCCACGCCCCTGGAAGATTCTGCCTCCGCGCAGAGCTCGGAATCAAACAGTCAGCACGGTCAGGCTTCCGGGGCTTCAGAGATGTGGAGCACCCGACCCCCGGCAGACGGTAAAGCAACGTGGAATCCCGATTCGTGCCTCAGCCGCCCTGGAGTGTGACTCCTGTGTGGACGGGGCTGCCCACCTCGCGCTGCATTGCAGGGCTCAGCCTGGGGATGGGAGGTCGCAAACCATGGGTGAAAACTGACGGCCACCCGAGTCTGGGTCTTTCGCCTTGGCGGACATGGCCTGCCTCGGGAATGAGTGCCCCGCTGCCCACGCGCGGCCGTGTGGGCCCCTGCCCTCTGCCCGCCGCCGGGCGTCGCCTTTTTCCCGGCGCGCTGGGCGTGGGGGAGGGGCGGCCCTGGCTGTTGCTGGGAGGCCGGAGACGCTTCCTCCTGCCGGAGTCCTCTGACCCTTTGCTCCCTCCCCGCCCGCCCTCCCGGGTCCCTCCGTACCCCGTGAGCTTCTTCCGTCTCCCCACTCCCTCCTCTCTCCGTCCCCTCCGTCCCTCCCTCCCTCTCCCTCTCCCTCCCTTCCAACGTCTCCTCCCAAGGCCCATCCTCGAGGTCTGGCTCTCATCTCTCCATCTCTGCCTGCCTTCCCCCGCCTGGAGCGGCCAGCATCCTGGTTTGTGTGGGGATCTGGGGGTGTGTATGGTAGCCGCCAGAAGTGCTCCATGCCGACGGGGCGGGAAGGCGGCAGGGGCACGGGTGGGCGAGGACGGTGGAGCGAGGCACAGAGGAGGGGGCGAGCCGGGAGGGAGAGGCAGAATCGGACGCTGCCCGGGCCCGGTGTTTCGGGGCATGGAGGTTTCAACCAGCAGCCCAGTGCAGAACACGGTGGTGCTGCTGGCGGTCGTGGTGGGGTGGGGGTGGGGGTGGTGTGTTTGGGTGTGTGGGGGTGTGGTTGTGTGGGTGTGTCGGGGGTGGTGGGTGTGGTGTGTGTGCGCGCCGCGTTGGGGAGTGGTGGGCATCGGGGCGGGGGTCGGGTGGTGGAAAAGCATGAGAGCTCTGCCGGGCCGCTCCCAGAGCCTAGGCCGCTGCCCGACACCCGCGCGCATGCGCAGTAGACGGTCCCCTCCTGAACCTGGGCCGGCTCTGGAATCCCCCGGGATGCTCAGTTCTCCTCGGTGTGGAGTCTCCGGCCGCCGCCGCCACGCCGCCGCGCCGCGCCCAGACCTCGGAAGGCAGGAATGCCAGGCTGCTCAGCCCGAGGGAAAATAGGCCTCTCCACACCGAGCCCGGTGCCCACGGCCAGCAGGAGGCCACCGCCCCGCCCCATCCCGTCCCAACCCCGTCCTAAAGCTCCTCCAGCAGAGCCCGGTGCATTCTCCTCGCTGAGGAGTAGCGGTTCCAGCTGCGGCTTCTCCCATCAGCCCCGGGTAGCCTGCTGGGCCTCCCGCTTCTAGCAGAGGCTGCGCCTGCTGCAGAAACTCGGGGTCTCCAGGAGCTCATCCAGCAGGCTGGAGGGGAGTGCAGACGAGCGCCCAGGCTCTGGAGCGGCGGGAGGGCGCCCGGACGGCTTGCATTGCCCGTCCCGCGGAGGCCTCCCGGGCGCGGCCCCGGAGGTGGAGCTGCCCCGATTTGGGGCCTCACGCGCCTCGGCGACCTGGGGCCCTGGCCCCAGCCCCACCACCGGACTCCCCTGGGACGGCGCGCGAGCACACCCTGGCCCTGCGGCTCAGCTCGCGTGGCCCGGGCTGTCCCACCGAAGCGCGGCCCGGCAGGCTGGGTGCTGCGGGTCCTGGTCCCCCGCCATTGGCTCGGGCGCTGGAGGCCACCCCCGGGGTCTGAGGGTGGGAGAGCGCCTCTCCGGAGTCGCCAGGGCAGCGTAGAAAGTTCCTAACCCCGCCTGCCGGGCTGATGGGATCCCCGCTGCCTGGGCGCGCCTGGCCGGGCTGCAGCGGGCGACGGCCCCTCGGCTCCCTGGCTCACGGCTCCCGGTGGGAGAGGAGTCCAGGGCGCGCAGGGCACGTGGGGCGCTGGGAAGCCCCGCTCCCCCCACGCCCGTGTGGGCGAAGGCCAACGCGAGGGGCGGGAGACACTCCGCTGGGCCGCACAGACAGGCCGCCATGCGCGGTGCTCCCGCCACCCTGGCCTGGGTGCCTGGCCCGGTTCTGAAACTAAATCTGAATCCGACTCCGGAGGCCCGCCTCTGGCCAGTTCTTCCCGGGTGGCGATGCCTCGAAAGCGATCCTGCTGGGGCTGCTCGCAGAGCAGGGGCGGTCTGGGGACCGGTGACGGTGTCCGCTGGGCTTGCTCTCTTATGGCCGCTTCTGCCAGGCCGAGATTCCCGCCGGTGCTGCCTCTCAGCTGGCGTGATCTCTCGCTCTGAAACCAAATCTGACCCTGGGCTCCGGAATGCCGATGGCCCGGGCCAGCTCTTCCTGGTGGCGATGCTCGGGTACGGGTCTGGCCAAAGCAGGCTCGCAGGGCCTCCTCTGGCTCGGGGTCCAAACGAGTCTCCCTTCGCCGGGCCTCCGTCCCCGGGCTCGGCCGGAGGGCGCCGTCTCCAGGTGTCGGGAGAGCCATCGCGGGAGACCTGGCCGGAATTCCGCGGGACTGGTGACACGGGCAGAGAGAGGCCGGCGGGCTCCCGTGCCCTCAGTCGGCCTCGTGCAGGCGAGCAGGTCCAGGCCAGGAGGCTGGCCCAGCCGCCATGTGTTCTATAAAAGGCCCACGGCTCCACCCTTCAGGAATGCAGGAGGAGCCCAGGGCCAGCCCGCCTCGCTCGGAAGCCGGGACTCACAGCCTCAGGTCACTGTGGCCTGGGTGTGGGTGGGGCCGGAGAAGCCCGGGAGGTGGGGGAGTGGGTGGGGAGTGGGGTGGGGGGAGGGGGAGAGGGGGCGGGGGCGGGCTTCAGGGGCTGGCTCTGGGCCTCTCCAGGGATTCTGCGGGGACTGGAAGCCGCCTGGCCCGCGGGCGTCTTCAGCAGGGAGAAGCCAGCCCGGGAAGGGTGGAGGGAGGTGGGAACTGGACTCCGTGAGAGTCTTGAGTTTTCCCCGGCCTCTCCCGGGAAGGAGGCCGTGCTCCGTGGTTGCCGCCGCGTCATCACAGGCTCACACACGCAGGTGTGTGGCTCGCTCACTTCCCACGCGGAAGGGCGGAGCGACACCCCGGAGAAAGACTGCATCCCCGGCGCCGCGGCCTGACCACGGATGCCTGCATCACGCAACGCAACGTAGGGGGAGTTCCCACCGTGGGCCCGCCTGGAAACAGGCGAGTAGAGCGAAGGCAGCACGGTAGCCGGGCGCTCCACGCCCCGGGAAGATTCTGCGCCCGCAGAGCTCGAATCAAACAGTCAGCACGGCCAGGCCTCCGGGGCTTCAGGAGATGTGAGCACCCGACTCCCCGGCAGACGGCAAAGCAACGTGTGAATCCCGAGCCTGTGCCTCAGTCAGTCCTGGGAGTGTGACTCCTGTGTGGACGGGCTGCCCGCCTCGCGCCTGCACTGCAGGGCTCAGCCTGGGGATGGGAGGTCGGCAAACCATGCGGGTGAAAACCGGACGTCACCCTAGCCTGGGCCTTTCGCCTTTGGCGGACATGGCCCGTTCCTCGGGGAATGAGTGTCTCGCCGGCCCACGCGCGGCGGCCGTGGGCCCCGCCTCTGCTCCGCGCTGGGCGCGCGCCTTTTCCGGCGCCAAGGTAGGGGGAGGGGCGGCCCTGCTGGGCGCTGGGAGCCGGAGACCGCTCTTCCTCCCTGCCGGAGTCCCCTCTGACCCTTGCCCTCCCGCCCGTCTCCCCCCACTCCGTCTCCAGGTTCGTGTTTCCTCCGTCTCCCACTTCTCCTCTCTCCGTCCCTCCGTCTTCTTCCGCCTTCCCTCCCTCCCTCCTTCCAACGCTCCTCCTGCGTCCATCTCGAGGTCTGGCTCTCATCTCTCCATCTCTGCCTGCCTTCCCCCGCCCGGGAGCGGTCAGCATCCCGGTTTGTGGGATCTGGGGGTCATGGGCCGCCAGGTGCTCCATGCCGACGGCGGGGAAGGCGGGCAGGGGCACGGGTGGGGCGAGTGGACGGAGCGGAGGCACAGAGGAGGCGAGCTACGGAGGGGTGGCAGGACACCCGACGCTGCCCGGCCCGGTGTTTCGGGCATGGAGGTTTCCAACCAGCAGCCCAGTGCAGAACACGTGGTGCTGCTGGCGGTCGTGGTGGGGGTGGGGTGGGGGGTGGTGTGTTTGGGTGTGTGGGGGTGGTTGTGTGGGTGTACAATGGGGGTGCCAGGTGGGTGTGTGTGTGCGCGCCGCGTTGGGGAGTGGGGTGGCACTGGGCGGGGTCGGGTGGTGGAAAAGCATGAGAGCTCTGCCAGCCGCCTCCCAGAGCCTAGGCCGCTGCCCGCACACCCGCGCATGCGCAGTAGACGGTCCCCTCCTGGGAACCTGGGCCGAAGCCTGGAATCCTGATGCTCAGTTCTCCTCGGTGTGTGAGTCTCCGGCCGCGGCCGCCGCCGCTCGCGCCTGTGACCCGGGAAGGCAGGAATGCCAGGCTGCTCAGCCTGGAGGAAACAGGCCTCTCCACACCGAGCCCTCGGTGCCCACGGCCAAAGGAGGCCACCGCCCCGCTTCGATCCCGCTCCCAACCTCCTGCCCTAAAGCTCCTCCAGCAGAGCTCGGCATTTCTCCTCGCTGAGGAGCATGGGTTCCAGCCAAGCGGGCTCTCCCACGTCCTGGGTAGCGCCCACACTGGGCCTCCGTTTCAGCAGAGGTTGCGCCTGCTGCAGAAACTCGGGGTCTCCAGGAGCTCATCCAGCAGGCTGAGGGGGAGTGCAGACGAGCGCCCAGGCTCCTGGAGCGGCGGGAGGTCGGGACGGTTTGCATCTGCCCTGCCCCGCGGAGGCCTCCCGGGCGCGGGCCCCGGGAGGTGGAGCTGCCCCGATTTGGGGCTCCACGCCGCTCGCGACCTGGGGGCCCCTGGCCCCAGCCCCACCACGGACTCCTGGGACGGGGCGGCGCCAGCACACCCTGGCTCCTGCGGCTCAGCTCCGGGTGGCCCGGGCTGTCCCACTGAAAGCAAGGCCCGGCAGGCTGTGGTGTTGCGGGTCCTGGTCCCCTCTGGCTTGGCTCGAAGGCCGAGGCCACCCCGGGGTCTGAGGGTGGGAGAGCGCCTTCCGGAGTCGCCCTCCATGCCGACGGCGGGGAAGGCGGCAGGGGCACGGGTGGGCGAGTGACGGTGGAGCGGAGGCACAGAGGAGGCGAGCCGCCGGAGGGAGAGCAGGCCCGGACGCTGCCCGGGCCCGGTGTTTCGGGGCATGGAGGTCTCCAACCAGCAGCCCAGTGCAGAACACGGTGGTGCTGCTGGCGGTCGTGGTGGGGGTGGGGGTGGGGGTGGTGTGTTTGGGTGTGTGGGGGTGTGGTTGTGTGGGTGTGTCGGGGGGTGCGTGTGTGTGGGTGTGTGTGCGCGCGCCGCGTTGGGGAGTGGGGTGGGGCATCGGGCGGGGGTCGGGTGGTGGAAAAGCATGAGAGCTCTGCCGGGGCCGCTCCCAGAGCCTAGGCCGCTGCCCGCACACCCGCGCATGCGCAGTAGACGGTCCCCCCTCCTGGAACCTGGGCCGGCTCTGGAATCCCCGGGATGCTCAGTTCTCCTCGGTGTGGAGTCTCCGGCCGCCGCCGCCGCCGCCGCGCCCAGACCCGGAAGGCAGGAATGCCAGGCTGCTCAGCCCGGAGGGAAAACAGGCCTCTCCACACCGAGCCCGGTGCCCACGGCCAAAGGGAGGCCACCGCCCCGCCCCCGATCCCGTCCCAACCCCGCGTCCTAAAGCTCCTCCAGCAGAGCCCGGTATTCCTCCTCGCTGAGGAGTAGCGGTTCCAGCCAAGCGGGCTCTCCCACGTCCTGCAGCTCCGTCGGGGCCTCCGTTTCTAGCAGAGGTTGCGCCTGCTGCAGAAACTCGGGGGTCTCCAGGAGCTCATCCAGCAGGCTGGAGGGGAGTGCAGACGAGCGCCCAGGCTCCTGGAGCGGCGGGGAGGGCGCCCGGACGGCTTGCATCTGCTCCTGCCCCGCGGAGGCCTCCCGGGGCGCGGGCCCCGGAGGTGGAGCTGCCCCGATTTGGGGCTCCCACGCCGCCCCGGCGACCTGGGGCCCCTGGCCCCAGCCCCACCACGGACTCCCCTGGGACGTGGGCGGCGCGAGCACACCCTGGCCCTGCGGCTCAGCTCCGGCGGGCCCGGGCTGTCCCACCGAGCAAGGGCCCGGCAGGCTGTGGTGCTGCGGGTCCTGGTCCCCCCGCCATTGGCTCGGGCGC